ATAAAAAAATGATTTTTTAGAAACCATTTTTTTTCCCCTTTTTTTTTTACTTTTTGGCAATGGAAACAAATTTTATAACCAATTGTGAAAAAAAATATCATTTTAATGGACAATTTCCATGTAAAACAAAACCAAATGAATAAAAAATTTAAAAATTTTTCGGGTGAAAAATTATACCAATCAAACAAACTTGAAATCATTTTCCCTAAAAAACATTTTCTAGGCAAATCTTTTCCCTATAAAACATTTTCTTTCCACCCATTTTCCACCATTGCAATCAAACGCACCCTAAGGCATATAATTTTTATTTTTCTTCTATTTTTCATAAAAGAACTTTATGAAAAATTACAATAAAAAATTCTTCTAATCATATAAAATATTTTTAAAAAATTATCCAAGTTCAAAATAATTTTTTAATTTCATTAACAACTTTTGAATTTTCAAAAATCGTATCAAATGAGTCGCTAAGAATAACTCAGGAAAGAAGGTAAACCTCGAATGTGTGATAAAAAAAAAATTAAGATGGTTTAAATAAGGGAAAATTACACAAAATCAAAATTAAAGATTCAATTTCAAAAATCAGATTGAAGGTTTCACTTTTCAAAAATCAAAAATTTTATTTTTAAATATTAAATATTAATTATCCAATTTTCATCCAAACACTAATCAATTTCATCTCAATTTTCCTTCTCTCTCCGTCACTCCCTCTACCTTCTTCGCTCCGTCACTCTCTCTACCTTCTCTCTTCTCTCCGCCACTCTCTCTTTTCACCCTCCTCCCTCTTCGTCGGCAACCCAACCTCCACGAGACGGTGCATTGTATTTCTTCTTCCTTCTCTCTTCTCTCCGTCACTTTCTCGTTCGTCGTTGAACAGCACTTGAGTTTGTTGCACACATCAGCGATCGGGAGTTCACCGCGGGCAATCTGGTGTTGGTGTTCGCGCTAGAGCTGATGGCTTGTTGATAGTGTCGCAGTGCTCTCCGTTGATTAGATCGGGCGAGGTGGTGGTGATGTGTGATTGTGGTGGTTGTTCTAACAATGGTGGTTTTGGTGATGCGTGGTTGTGGTTGGATCGGTGAGGTTGCTCGACAACACTAATGTTGTTAGTGGTTTCCAGTCATCGCGATGATGTTGTTGTGGCTACAGTTGACATGATCCCATTTTGGATAGTGTAACGGTGCTCTCAATCGATTGGATTTGTTGAGATGGTGGTGATGTGTGGTTGTGGTGC